ACCAGTCCTCAGTAGTCCTGACTAACCTCCCTAGGCCACACACTGCCCATGGCTCCATACCCCATTCCTGCCCAGCCATGTCCCAGAGATGCTGTAGGAGTGCCGGTCTCCATGCCTCTCCCTCTGTGACCTGAACAGACCTTGGCTGTGCTCTGAGGGTAGCTTGTGTCCTGGATGGCCACTTTCAATGTACATTGTGTCTTGTCTTCACTCCTGCCTTTTTTTCCCTTCCTGGTTTGTTCCTGACCTGGGTGGACTCTGACCACATTTGGCAAACATAATTGAAAGAGGTGACCACAACCAAAGGATTTTTTTTTTCCAGCAAGAGCTATGAGGAAGCCATTTTCACTGCTTTTTTTATATGTTTATAAAAAACGGTTATTTATGCTTTCATAGTTTACTTTTTTTGGTGACCTTACTTATTCTTGAACCATTACTTTTACACCTGTATTTGTTTGTCTTTCTGTTACAAGGAGTCAGTAGCAATATATTCAGTGAAAGTCACTCAGCCTGAGCTATTTCAGGCCTTGTTATCATATAGCTGCCATTTGGATTTCATTAACTTAGGCAAATGGGTTCATTATCTATTTGGACAAGACAGAACACAGCTTGGTCTTTCCTTCAGATGTTAAAAGTCCTTTTTTGACCCTTGCTGTGACTTGTCAGCTAGTTGTAATTTAGTTATTTATCAAAAAGCGTGTTGTTTACAGGCTAATTACACATTTTCTTAGCCATTTATTTGCTCTCTATTGAATTATAAAATGTTCTTTAATGTTTTAAACAAAATTCATTTTGTTGCCCATATTTTCATGTATTTATAATCTAGTGGATTTTAAAACAAATGTTGAGCCTAGGGGGAAACAGATAAAATAATATCAAGTGTATTAATAAAGCTCCAATTACACATATGATTAAAAGAAGTTTCTCACTGTGTAATTATATGTTTGTGTAACAAATAAACCTACCCAAACTTGCGATTGAAAGAAATGAAAGGAAAAAAGATAGAAGAGGGCTAAAGGGGGCTTACCTGAATTAATTAAAACTTTAAGAAAGCCTTTAAAATAAAAGCTGAGATGAAAAACAAGTAAACCTCTTGTAGTTTTAGGCTACATTAACTTGGAGTAGTATGGGAACTTAAAAAGTCTTCAGTGGAAAAAGTGGAAAAGGATTAAGCGAAGGAACAATCATCTTTGTGTGGTGAGAATAGGGTACAAAATAAATATTTAAGAAATAATATTAGACCTTTGTGCCTTGAAATGAAATATGGTTAGTAATCCTGGAAGGGAGAGGGATGCAGCATTATCGCACCAAGATGGAAACAAAACCAAGGTGGATGTCTCCAGCTTGGGCACAACAGTGAACTGATTCTCCAAAACTGTGAAAGGCTTGTGCATAAACCTGAAGATGAATAAGAGCAGTTGTAGATCAAATTGAAAACTAAGGAAGTGCAGCACCTGTAGTTCTGGAATAAAATTCGGAAAAATATGTTACCTGGTGACTATGCAGACATTTAAACATATTTTTTGAAAGAATTATTACTATGAACTTTAACAAAAGATCAGAGACATGTGAACTGTAATTTACAAAAATTCAAATTAACCTGTTATATTTTTATATGAATTTTGAATTTAAAAAAGGTAACACCCTTTTATAAATATTAAAAAGGACACTTGATAGCTCTAGGGCACACTGGTAGAGTGATTCCTGCACTATTCTTTTGAAACTACTCCTAAGCTAATAAAGGTTGTCCTTAGTACCAGTGAGAGGTAGTTGGAGTAAGTATCTAGTCAGCTTTGGATAAACCATCTAGAAACTGTATTTTTTATGAAGTTGCCATACCTCATCTGAGCTGCTTTTCATCTGGCTCATTAGCTTTGACATAGTACCATGGTTGTATGGTTCATGAAACAGAGATGCCTCACTCTGAACTGCTAAAAAACTGTTGGAGCAGCACATTAATCAGTCATTCAAGCATCTCTACTTTGCTGTAATCAGAGTGAAAAGAAAAATAGCACTATTTTTATTCCTTATATTTTAAAGCAATTAATGCCACAAGCTGAGTTTCGCTGAATGAAACTGATAAAACCCAGAGATGGTAAAATTAAGCTAGCTTAATTTTGAAGGGAAATTGATTTAACCTGTGTGTGTTTCACATTTAGATCCATCTTCCTGATTGCATTGGTATAAATGAAAAGCAAAGTGAGCCCAAAGTCCTATATCAGAATAGAATCAATTTACTTCTATTCTGCATTTCTATTAGCTAAAAATAAAGCTAAAGACACAATTCAAAGCCAAGGAATTATAATATACACGACAATAGAGAATTAAGTTTTTTGTTTTTCATTATTTTCCATTGGATCATACCTTGGAGGTAGTTTGCTTTCAGCAAGATTACAGAATATACTATCTAAAGAAAAGCTTCCTTTAGGAGCAGACATACTGCATTGCAGGTGATTGGGAAGCTACCAAAACTACTAAATTTGGGTAGAAACCAAGTGTTTACTTACTCTTTATCGCTATGGGTTTTTTTTTTTGTCTTTACAGCATTAACAGTAAGGCTTTTTTTTTCTTTTTTTTTCTTTTTTTTTCTTTTTTTTTTTTTCCTGGGGAGACATCTGCAGTGATATCTAGGTGTTTAGAATGTCCCTATCTGTGGAGAACAGTTTGAGAATAAAGGTTTGATCTTTTTTTTGGTGCTCCTTAAGTAATTTAAGGTTTCCCATTGCTAGTATGTGTGTTGTTTTTCAAGGAATGTAATGGAAGAAACCCTACCTATATTAAGAAAAAAAATATTTAAAATAAAAAGAAAATAGAAAATTAGGCTTACACTTTTTCCTCACCCATCAGCTTGGATAGTGGCAGAACCAAGGATAAACTGTCATAAACTGAAATTTTCAGAAAACCATTGTCATTTCCTAAAATGATCATCTTAACCTCAACTTTTACTGAGATAGTCACATCTCAGCTCAAATAATTGACCATAAATATTTTTAATGCAAGGCACAGTGTACCTGATTAGGGTATTGCACACTGCAAAAAACACTGCATTCAGTGGCCTGGAATGACCAGATAATTTCCTGACTTTTGAAATCTCAGGTTGTTTTCTACCTTATCTTCTTTATTAGTCCAAAATCTGGAAGTTAATTGGCCTAACTTTGATCTCCACTAGCCAAATAAAGCCTAATAGGAATGAATCCTTGTGATGTTGCACATCAATTTGAGGGCACAGAAAAATCACTAAACATTCTTTCTTCCTACAATCAAGTTATCGAGGCTCTTCAATATATATAATGGCAAAAATCTATGTCACTAGAAGAAATATAGTGTTTTGCTGTAACTATGGGAAACAATCATATGAAAGAAAATAAGTACTGATTTTTTAGGGTAAATAGTAGCTTTCAGCTATCTTCTGTTTCTCCCCTGCAGGGGAAATTATTGAATCTAGAAACTGCACCTTGCTTTCTGGTGCAGTGTGCACAAGAGTAAAAATATTGGTGGGACCTTGCCCCACAGAATAGAATTTTACCTACAATAGCTCTGAACCCAGTACTTCACAGTTCTCGCTGGACTCATAAGGGCTATTAATGCCAGTTTGGTTGTAGTTTTCTCTCAGAAATTAAACACGGGTTAATGGCTATGTTTCCACCACAAAGTTGTTCAGGGAAAGCGTTTGGTTTATAAAAATTACCTATGAACGCTTTATAGAGAAATTTAAAGGTCACAATTTTTCATGTTGTTGTTTTACATTGCAAGGAAGAATGTTCTGCTCAGTGTTTTATCACCTAACTCAATCAAAATTAATTCCTCAGCCTGGAGTCCATCATTCCTTACACAGTTGAAGTTTAAAACCCTGGTTTAAAATATTATGGTTCCACTCATAATATTTATAGTCTTATTCTTGTTATCTTCAGATTTATTTGTAGGATTTGATTTTTAAAGACATTTAACTGGGGTGTAAAGGAAAGAAGGGGTGAAGAGTTTGATGCTATTGTTGGTACCAGTACTTTCCACCAGACAATGTCTAATTGCTGTTGCAGATGAGTCACATGTGCCAGACACAAGCAGATGTTTGTAAGCATCGGTATAGATGTGGTTCAGTTTAAACTTCTTTTGTTTGTGAGTCCCAGACACATCTCCTGTAACGAAATAATTTTAAAAAATACTCTATCAAATGTCTGCAACATTTCCTTACTGTACCTACCCCCAAGGGTAGGTGGTTCTTCACTGAGAGTGCCTTTGTCAAGTAGTTATGTGTTCATAGCTCCACTGACTGGTATTATCCTCTTCTTTCAGAATTCTCCTCTGCTGGTATGCTTTTTTTTTTTTCTTTTTAGCTTTAAAATATATTCTGGCTGTTTTAATATAGTGCCAGTAAGGCTGGCACTTTCTTGGGGTGAGAAATACAAAGAGAGAAATACAAAGCATCTGCTGTAACTTTAGTTGTATTATGTTTATGCATGAGAATAGAAACCAGTGCATTTTAGACTATTCTACTATTCTACTTCCTACACTATGAAAGGACAAATACCTTTATTTTAAAGGCTGTAAGTTAAAAAGTATATGGATGTGAATAAGCAGTGATGTATTGTTACAGCATTAAATGCATAAAATTCATGGTAGTTATGGCAGTATTAATTTATCAGATTGTATTAATCATAGTATTTTGATACTTAGATTAATTAATTCTCCTTATACATATTGCTGTAGTTATTTGACTGCATTTGCATTATTACTGCTTTGCTATACATAAGAAATAGCTTCACAAAAACAGCAACGAGTTTCATTCTGTGGTATGTGTAGACTATATATTCTAGCTTACTCACTCCAGCCATGGCCCTTTCTGTGCCTAAGGTCAGACTTGCACCTTATAACAGCATTTGCTAACCTCTTTGCATTGTTTTTATGCATTTGTTGAGGCAAGACAAGAATTACTATGTGAGATGAACTCTGCCAAGTCATGGCATCAGTGTCTGAGTGCAGAAGTGAATTGTGTTTTACAGGAACACATGGAGGCCTTACAAGGAGCAGTGCAAGTGCAGCAGTGACCTGACCTGAGCTGCCTTTGATCCCTTCCTGTCCCAAGTGATCACCTGAACAGATGGAGCCCTAAGTCATGGACTAAATGAACCCTGCTGTCATTGTGTAGACACTGGTAAGCATTTTACAGCCATTTTACAGGGGTGGCCCACAGACTAGGGGGATGATCTCTGGATATTCTATCAAAGGATCAGAGGAAGGGCTGAATATCTTCAGATTTATGAGTGAATGTCCTGGTACTTCTTTGGAGGGAATTTTTCACACCCAGGCCACTGTATGAGAGCATTGGTGTAAAAAATACACTATCTCACCTTGCAGTATCTGCTTCTCATATGCCTCTTCCCTTATCTTGTTCAAGTCCCAGCTTGTGGCTTCCAGAGGTGAGTGTGCACCCCTGTGCACCGTGGCTTTTACTGTGTGCATAGTCACCCACTGCCTTTGCAAAAGGCTTTGTCTGTGAACCATTGACATTCCACTCTCAGGCGTTTAACAAGGGGGTCTTGGATAATGTTGGATCTGAGCATGATGCGAATGCTATGGAACAAGGGATAAAGAACATGCTTGCTTTGGGTGGGATAAATTAATTTTCTTCAGAGCAGCTGGATAGGGCAATGTTTTGGATTTTTGCTGAAAGCAGGGAAGTCTTCATTATAGTTGAGCAGTGCTTACTGCATCAAGGCTTGTTGTGCTTCTCAGCCCACCTACCTGCAGGGAGGCTGTGGGGGAAGAGCCGGGAGGGGACACAGCCAGGACAGCTGACCCAAGGGATATTCCAGCTCATATGACATAATGTTCTGCATATAAACCTGGGAGAAGAAGAAGAAGAAGGAAGCAGAGGATGTTCTGAGCAATGGTGCTTGTCTTCCCAAGTCATGGCAAAGCTTTGCTTTCTCTACCCATGAAAAAGCTCTGCTTTCCTGGGAATGGCTGAACATCTGCCTGCAATCAGAAGCTGTGAATTTATTCCTTGTTTTGCTTTCCTTTCACATCTTTTGCTTTACCTATTAAACTGTCTTTATCTCAACCCACAAGCTTTCTCCCTTTTACTCCTCTGCTTCCCTCCCCTTTCCATTGGGGTGAGCTCTTGAGCAGTTGCATGAGTGCTGAGTTGCCATCTGGGTTCTTTAAATGAGATAAATAAGTGTGATCACAGAAACTGTTTAAACAGAAAGCTTATGTGGAGAAGAATATGTCCCATAGATTACATAAATTTGAAGTTTTATTTGGTTAGACAAGGAGTATAATATGAAGCTAACCAGGTTAGCCTGTTCTAAATGGCTTTTTTTCAAATTTGAATTTTCTTAACCAGCAAAAATGTTTTTAACAGTGTGTCAACCAATTTAGGGTAATAATCTCTTTTCTTTTTTAAGTTTTGTATAAATAGTGGGCAACTTTATGACCCAAGAAAGTTTTTACATTTCAAAGGAACAAAGACAGAGTAGTATGTATGAATAGTTTTTTATTATTTGGGTGGTTTTGTTGATACAGTTACAAAGATATTGGACTTGCAGTTTGTTGTTCCTATTCAGCTTACCTTAGAAAACAAGTGCTGCAAGTGCTATTGCCAAGATCTGGAATGTGGGAATTTTTAACATTACTTCATATATATGAGACCATTAAGAAAATCAACTTTTAACAGTATTTTCCCTCTTTTCTATCATGCAAACCTCTAAATTCCCACCAAGTAAATCTATTTTATACATTTTTTTCCTGAAGATTAAGAACACTTATTAAGATGGAACTAAGATAACTCTAGAATCACAAAAAGAAAGAATGACTGCTTTATTTTTGGCTGATTTCCCTCAGAATTCAGTAAGAATTCTGGTTTTATGATATATCTAGCATAGACTGTGGTACTCTTGTCTTGCTCTGCACAAAGTGTGCTGAACATGTATTTGAAGTAAAATACACATATTCTTTGTTTCTGTGAGCTAAAGTATCTTTAACATGAACTTGGATGTCTCTTTCCTTCAGGCTGAAGGCAATGAATTACTGAAAGTGAGAATGCAGAGAATTAGATCTCACAAAACTATGACAATTACTTTAGGTAATGCCTCAGAAGTGACTGTGGTATGTTGATGGCCCTGGGCCAGCTTTAAATTGTCCCTTGTACAGGCTAATTCACACTAAATAAGGGAAAATTTTTGAGCTGATATTATTAGAAACTTAATTTTCAGTCTTGAAGGATATCAGGAACTATATAGTCCATGCATGAAATCCTTGAACTATTCAATTTTATTAGAAAAATGCCATTTATTTTAGATTAACTGGAATTTTCTTTGCATACTAAACTTGAATATATTTATGTAATGTGTAATTGTACTTTGTGGCACTGTAGTGGAAGTAATCCAGTTATATTAGTTGGGGTATTGCAATAACACAGTTATACTACTTTTGGCACTTGTGCCTGCCTAGATATCTCTACAAAGCATTGTACTGGGGATAATGGCAGTCTGCTGCAAAAGAGATATGGCAGCTCCATGAAGAATGCTTGCTCTCATGCTAATCCTGACTTTTTGAACTTTTAGTGTGGTGACTTGGGAGAGAAAGGAGAAAGCATATTCATTAGACTAGTTTAGCAGAGATTTGAATTGCAGTTTTGGAGTATTCCAATGAACTGAACTATGGATTTAAAAATAGAGATTAAAAATACCATTTCCTTGAACTAAATTTTTAAAAGCAACTGTGCATGAGTACTTGGGACTTCTACAATGCCCTTTCATGCCTAAGTTACTTCAGTCAAGTGTAAAATCACGCTTAAATACTCTGCAATGATTTGGTTAAATGAATGAGCTCTCATTCATTGAACAAGATTTTAAAAAATCTAGAGTAGAATATATATTTCAAGAAATTCAAAGGATATCGGTAGTGGAAACAGATAGAAAAACTCCCATGAAATCCTGGTGATATTCTAATTGAATTTCAGTCTGCCACTCAGAAAATTCTCTGGATACCACAGCTTTTCAGGGAAACTAGATGTATTTTTTTTTTTTTTCTGTTACTGGTTACAGAGTAAGTATAGTTCAGGTCTAAGTTATGCAGTAACATCAGCCAGCCCAGTGCAGTCACCCCCTGTGAAACCGGAGTCCGTGTGGCATCCAGCGAATCTGTTAGGGATCTAATCACAGCAAGCATAGCATGGCAAGCAGGCTCATACCCAACCCTTTCAACTAACAGGGACACAGACCACAGCCAGTCTGGTGAAGTCTGGGCTTTTTTGTATGATAATGTCCAGGACATGTTAACAAATAATACCATAATTGCCCAGAGATTGCCTTACTAACCTTTTATCTGTGTGAAAGTTTGGAGGTCACAAAACTCATTATTTTAGTCCCCACATGCCATCAATAAAAAAAAAATCTATATTTTAGTATGATTAGACTTCTTTGCCAAGTGGATTCATGTGATGGCCTTTTTAACTACATGTTTCTTGATCTTACTGTTTGCCAAATACATGGCCCATAAATCAGCTGTGAAATCCCCAGAGTAGAAGAAGAACTCATATCCAATTATTTTACATTTGATCAGGCAGATATTACTTCAGTGCTACACTCACTTACCAATATTATTTTATTGCATTTTTTAGATACTTGTAGCAATGTTTATAAGCACTTGTTTATTGCACTATGACCAAGGATCGGGCTTCCCCCAATTTAGTGTATATTTGTATTTACTTATTAATTTCAGTTTTAGTTATACTGCAAGTACATTATGGCTGAAGATGGTGGATCACTATGAGCCTAATCTGTTGTGTACAAGCAGATAACTTTCTACTGGTCATATAATAGTTTCTGTAATTTCCAAAAACATGGTAGTGTGGAATATATAGACTATTTCAATAGAAGCATTCTTTTATACAGGTGCTGGCATTCCTAGCATTTTTAAGAATTGGCATAATACTTCATGTTCTTTAGTACTGACTGTGGCTTTGTTGCAAACAGGGTCCTGTTAGTAAAGGAATAATTGTCCAATTTCACAGTAAAACAAACTTTCAGAGTCAGGACTGAAATACTGTTGAAACAACATTCAAAACTAAATTGTCAATGTTGTATTACATTTAACCATACCTGAAATATATATTGGAAGTTCTTACACAACAGGATTACAAAGGATGCAGTCTCTGAGAAAGGTCAAGAAAACCAAAGGAAAGAAGATGGCTTAAATGTGATGCCTCATATTGCTTACTTACAAATGAATTGCTTATATATAAATGAAGTAAGCCTCAAATTGCTTACTTCAAGAGATTTATGTGTAACAAGAAGATTAATAAGAATTTATAAGGTTCATGAAAGTTTGAAACAACATAAAAATATATATTTAGGGTATTTTGGTGAGTAAATAGTTTTACTAAAATTGCATACAATGTAGGAAAAGCTTGGTAGATTTCAATAGATAAGCTTTGAAGAATTTCTTGACTAAGGGAACCTGAAAAAGAGTGAATGTTTATATGTGGGTTTGGATTTATTTTTTGATGTTATAGATCTGTATTATTTTGCTGTGTTTTGATTCCACTTGTTCCAAACTTAACATAAGAATAAAAAAAAGGATGTCTTGTAAGCTGTTACAGAGGCAGTCTAATTCTGCAGCCTTTGCCTCTGCAAATACGTAGACTGACAAATAACTTCCACATGAGAAGGCATATTAATGACATATTTTGACTAGCCAAATATTGGTACATTGTGTATGATTCTACTGATGTTTGATATTTGTTAGCTAAAAATTTCCAGCTTTCCTATGAAAGAGCTTAGACCTGAAAAGCAGAAAAAACAGATCATGTGCCTGCCCTGTGAGGTGGATGATTAAAGATGTTAGATTTTACAAGCTACTCAAATGATACTGCATAGAATTTTTTCCAGTATTAAACATAATTCCACATGCTCAAAGGTGACAGAATGACAGAACTAAACTTATATATAAGGGATATAAAAACAGATATAGCACAGAAGTCTCTAGTTTTCAAATCCAAGACTGCAACGAGGAATAGAATCTGCTTGCTGTGATGTCTGAGTTTGAAGGATGTTATGAAGATGGAAGGAATTTTTCAATGTTCAACATCATTGTAGTGCTAAGAGAAATTACAAAGTCCTCTTGTGGCTAACACGATAAATAATATTC